GGGGGAACAGATCAGCATACAGAATAAACAAAAAACAATTACAGATGTTCACAAACAGCAAGTCCACTTCTTCATTCAATCCAAAAGGTGCCCATGTTTGTAGTTGGTAAATCCAAAACAACTCTCTTCTCAGGAGCACTCTGCACATGTTCGGGTTGGTAGTCTGTACAGTCTCGATGATCCAAAATTTTAGCTGTTTATCTGTGTCCCAAGTCCAGAAAATGGTTTACTAATGGTGCAGAATAGTGACCACTGAGGAAGGCCCTTAGGGGCCGAAACGCGTTTGGTCTTCAGTTGTAAATTATTTACCCATCATATATATGTATGTATAGAGGATAAGCTTTTATAGTCTGATTTTAGACAAAGTAATTTTTAATCAGGAAAGTTTTAACATGTGTACAGCTTAATAAATATTTGTACTTTTTTATATCTGGTATAGAATAAGTACAGCATGATAGTTTAAATGCATAATGAGATAATGTGCATGTTGATTTCATGAAGATATCAGATTAGCCACAGTTGTCCAGTGTGGCTAACTTGATAGTTACACATTTTCCTCACGCAGCCTTCCGGGTTGGCTATGTTTGTTACTTTTGGTCATCCGGCAAGTCGCTGAAGAAACTTCCAATACTGTTGTTCTAATACTATCTTTAAGAGGACCTGAGGCCATAGTAGTAAACACTGTGTTTGAAAGGTCTTTCTGTCAATAATCCATTACAATCTATCTTGATCTATTGCAGGGTCAAGCAGGGGTTCTTACTTGGCATACAGAATGAGATACTTTAATGAACACACTCACTTTCATTCCAACATTTCAATTTTCAGGCTGGATAAAAGCATTTCAATATATTTTTATGTTTTCCTCACCACTTTTAAGAAGGATGTGGAGGAAGCAGAGGGTGGGGGATGTTGAGCTGATATCTGAGCTGTAGAATTGTCTCTCTTCTTGCCTGTTAACAAACAATCTTACAGCCCAATGGAATGCTAAATGAGGGAGTGAAACTAAAGGCCTCACTTTGCCTCATCGTTAGCAAAGAACTGATAGAAACCTACATTGTTCCCTATATAAAACCTAAACAAAAGGCATAGTAATGGGGCAGTAGTGGAAGATGTCTTTGGACATCAGATGCAAAGCTGATCTTTGTTTTCTGAGTCTTGCACCACAGCATTCATAAACTTCGGCATTTGTTAACACAAAGCATTGCTCACACAGTGTATATGTGAATGCCCTATTATCATCTAATAGTTAGCATCTAAAAATAGGTTATTCCTGATATTATTTTATCTTGAAGGCACAGTGATGTTAAGCGTACTTAGTCATAAGTTAAGTCCCCTAAATTTCAGTGGAACCTGCATCCAGAGTAATGTGTTTAGGGCGTGAATATCCTTCCTCTTCCTGTTGAGATTAATATGATTGATCTCACTGTTTTATTTTTATTTTCTTGCAGATACTAGAATGTGAATTTTATCTTTTAGAATTAATGGTAAGTTCACTTATTGCCAAAATTAATGGTAAGTTCACTTATTGCCAAGTTCACATATTGTCATATTTTTTTGATTTTATGTAGCAAAAATATGTTGCTTATTGCAGTGCAAAATGGGATATGGTGAGCGTGCAGAGCACATATAAAGTTTCACCATTATTCCTCCTTGTTCTTTATTGTCTGCTCTGGTTAGCAGTGGTGCTGTGTGGGCTCAGTTGAAGGAAGTCTTTTTCAGCTTCTGCTGCCTGAGATCATTTAACTGGCGATGGTAGGGATAAAGCTTGGGGTCTTCTGCATATACCTGTCTATGGTCAATGTTGTCTTGACATTTTATTCCTTCCCTCCCCCTGGCCCCTTGCTTATCTCTGTAGTAGTGCAGCATGATTTTTCCATAAAAATCTTTAAAGCAAACACAAACATCATGGAATGGAACTGTATCTACACAAGTGAATTACCTTCCAAGATTGTGAGAATAGTCTCAGTACTGCTGTGTATGCATATGAAACCTACATATGTAAACTGTTTCTCCAATGAATGTCACAGGAATTCATTGTGAAGAAGTACTAGCCTCCTATGAGAAACAATAGGCTGATGAACTTATACAGAAGTACAATGGCAGACTGGAGTACTTATTTGCAAACAGATCTAGTTGCAAGAGAGTGTCCCAGCTTGCTGTTTTAATTGGCAAGCTTGCATGTGACAGTATTCCTTTTGTATGCTGTTTATGTGAGTAACACTGCAAAGTAGCTAATACAACTCTAGCAAGGTACTACCTACCAAATAACAAAACCCGGAGTGTAGCCCTTATCCAAGATATCATCCGGATGAGATGTGGACAACTGTGCCTATTTACAAGATGCCTGGCAGAAGATATATTGTTGGAGGAAATAGTTGCAGTAGATGCAACCTCAATTTG